GGAAGCAACCTGGTCATCGGAGCAGACCTCGGTCGAAAAAGCACTGGGGGCATTAGACCTCGCCCTCTTGGGAGGAGGAAAAGACACCATTCTAAAAGTGCAGAGAGTCTCCACCATCGCTCTATCAACAGGACGCCTATAATTAGAGATAAGGTCAATTAGTGACTAAGCACTAGAGAGGCGCATCCAATATCAAGACTCAAGACGTCTCTCAAACACAACAGGGCCCTAGGCTTCCTAGCGTCACCCATTTGGAGCACGTCGGTGCGACCTCTACCTCTTTCTCTCCTGCTCACGCCATCAAAGGTCTTAATACCCAGTTAGCCAACTTAGAAGCGCTTGCCTGCTTGACGTCCTTGCCCAGTCTTCCATCTCAAAAAAAAAAGTCAAAAAAAAAAAAAAGGGGAAAGCAAAGGGCAGCGCCCAAGCAGCCAAGGAGAGAAGAAAAAAAAAAGAAAGAAAAGAAGGTAGGCAGCGCCCAGGAAGACCAAAGGAAAAGAAAAGAACAAAAAAAAGAAAAGAGAGGGGAAGAGGTGCCTAGGGTGACCAAGAAAAAAAAAAAAAGGAAGAAACCAGCAAAGCCCCAAAAGGCGCCACCCAACAAAACATTTACTTACTATTATTATAATATTTTGCATGGCCTTCCTTTTACTTATTTTCATTATTATAATGTAAATTTTACCTTTTCTCCATCAAGACCACAACACACATACAAATATATATGGGACAATAAGCTGCCCAAGTTAATTGGTAGTCTCAAGGTGTCGCCCAAGCTTCTAGCCTCCCCAAGGCGCTGCTTAGCCTTCTAGCGTCGCCCAAGGTGCGGCCTAGTCTCCAAAAAATAGAAAGCAAGCAACCATATAGAACAAGAAAACTCCTACTCAAGTGAAGAAGAGGCACATGCCCTCAACCCCTTCCTCTTATAAAATTCAAAGGCTTGGGGGCATGGGGGACAAATGATGAGTCCAAAATTATTTGGGTTAGGCTCAATAAAATCAAAAATACCCAAGTCAATAAAAGGTGACCTAGGCCCAATGAGTTAAAAGGGCCCACGTCACCAAAGTCATCAAGGATCAAGGAGGAGCCAAAGGGACACTCAAGGGGGCGCCGCCCAAGGGGTCACCCAAGAGGGCACTGCCCAAGGGGATATACCAAGAGGGCGTCGTCCAGATATTGGTCCTTTGCCTCTCCTTCACCTTCTTCTTTTTGCCACTCTGATTCAAGTCCAAACTCAGAATCAAATCTACATAGAGGGCATGCCCTTACAACCTTGACATCTCTACATTTTGAGATCCCTACACACACTACACCTTCCCACAATTGTTGTTCTCTCTTTCTCTTTCTCCTAAAGCATTGTAATACTCCCAGAGTGCATCCTCCTAGTTACACTATTCATCAATAAAGATCTCCAGTCACCACTGTCGTTCCTGAAAGTGGAGTAGGTCACCCGGACCGAACCACTATAAATTTGCGTGTTCGCTCTTATTTACTGATTATCCTATTTACTGTTTATTAACTGCACCCGTTCATGTTTTTGACTGTTGATTTTGCACAACACAAATTTGTGCATTATCAAGTATAACACTAATAGTGTAACAGTATAATAATAACAGTGTAACAAGCTATTTACACAAAATATTATACTATTACATTTTGTCAAATATATAGTTTTATATAATTTCATTCAAAATAGTTCATTTCTGTTTTGAATTTGTTATCACATACATAAAATTACTGAATACTGTTTTTGTTACAGTGTATTTGTTGCACTGTCTTTGTTATAGTGTATTTGTTATACTGTTATTGTTACATTATTATTGTTACACTATTACATTATTCGGATATTAAATTGATTTGAAAATAAAACTATTTTTCAAAAAAAAAAAATACACATGAATTAAGGTGTATTTAATATAATTCAAAATTTAAATAAAAGATTTAATAACCAGTATATATATTAACAAATACACATGAATTAAAATCCATTAAATACGTATTTATATGTATTAACAAATACACATGAATCAAGATGTAATAAAAATAAGAGATTTTGAATTAAATGACCCTAAAATGGACATTTATGTCTTTGTAACTCAGCTGTGTACTTTTTTTCAAAATATTTTGTTGTATGTATTTTTTGTTAAATAAGTCTAATTAGGTGTACCGACTTTCAAAGAATCCAATTAAATTATCAAATGAAATCCAAAAATCATTACTCTAATTTTACTCGCGTCCTCCGTTCAAAGGTCCAGTAGACTACTGAGCATGAGCATGGCCATAGCCCATAGGTCTGATACGGGCTAAATTCAGTATAAACACCGCCCGAATGTGATACAATTATCTTGATTTTAATTTTAAAACAAATACTATACTATAATGTAAGTAATTTTTAAAAATAAAAAAATCATGTCTTATTTGCATAAATATATGATATTCAGTATGTAATATATATGGGGTAAATACCATTCAATTTACAAATTGTTGGTCTACCCAAAAGATTTCTTTTGTAATCGATGGACTTAATTATTTTTTCAAAGAGATTTTAGATGCCTGCTTGATGTTAGGTTCAATTACTTTGTTTCATGACTTCCTTAGATGATCACAATCGACAAAATTAAAGCAAGTGAAATGACAGGAAAATTGAAATGACAGTAAAATGAAGTTTTACAAAGTACATAAGTGTCTTTGAAATTACGATGATCTACGTTGGGTTTTGATCAAATTGCTCTAATTCTTTTTTACCAAAAGGATGAATATTATTGCTCTGATAAAGGATGAATATTATTGATGTCAATACAGACCATTATAGATTTTGTGGGCGTGGGCGAGTTGAAATTTGGGGAATTTTTACGAATGCTTCACTTGTTTTTAGGTTAGGTTGACCATAATTTTAGTATAACTATGAACAAGTTTTGCAGGTAATTTATCATTTGTCAGAGTTATTTAATTTTTTTTTTGGGAGGGGGGGGTGGAATTTACAACTTATTCTGATTATTTATAAATTTTGGGAGTTTTAGGGTTACCTTTGATTGGTCCTAAAATTATTATTAGGATTGATCTGAACCTAATCTCAAAAGTTGTGAAAGGGCCCCAAAATATTATAACTTGGACTATAAAATTTGTGACATAACTTAAAAAGGTGTAATTTGCATTTTTGTTGTAAACAAATCCTCCAAAAACTTGTAAGATTTATGACATTTAGAGATCGTGCGATAAAATTAATTTCAGCCAAAAAATCCATGTATGATACTCACCACCATCTCACCTCTCCAAAGCTCCCACATCACTGAGTAAATATTCAATGTATTGGTGACATCGTATGATTATTAACATGTACTGCCACAATCTAATAACAAACCTGTAAGCAGATAAAGTTGAATCTTATTTTTTTTCATTAAATGGTTATTTTCTCAGCTAAAAAGGGTAATTACTAAAGTAAATGAGATCCTTACATATTACTTTATTATTGAGTTTTGACAACACGTGTCATCCTTACAATCAATATTTTCTCCGCATCACTAGGCTACACCACCAAAACGGCAACCATCGATCCACATCACCTCGTACCATGTCACCATCTGGTCTAAAGACGAGACTAGTGTTGTGCTTGGTCTGTGATAACACTTTTAAATCAGAATGAAATATAATGTGTATTACCATTTTAATGCTTGGGTTAGGCGTTTGAATAGAATTGAAAATTTATTGGAATACTTGGATAAATCAACTTTTTTACTAAATTAAATTAAATTTGATCAAAATAATATAACTATTTTTTATGCACCAAATTTAGAATCTCAAACCATGACCAACTCTTGGACTTGACCTAAAACGTGGACCAGGATCAGTATTTAGATGCAAAGCAAACATGGTCTTGGCTCGACCCTAAGCTTAGAGTTGATCTTAAACTCGAACTTAAACATATCCCCAGCCCCAAACCTCAGTCGTGACACTAGTTCTAGACCAAGACTTAACCTAGGACCCAATCCTCAAATTTGAACTTCGTCCGACCCTCAAATTTGAACTCGACCCAACCATGAACCAAGACTTCACCCAATACCCTAGAGTCAACCTCAGACCTTAGACATCAGAACTAAACTTGATCCCAAACTTGGCCTAGACCATGTACCCCAAACTTGGACATAGACCTAACCCTGAACTTGGATCCTAGATCCATTCCCAGACTTGGACTCGACTCAGACCTAAATCACACATGCTTGGTAAACCCTAGACCCGAATCCAAAACCCCAAACCCAAACCAGGGTGGAGGTGGAGATGGGGGATAGACTTGGGAAGTAGTGGTGGTGGTGGTCTTTAATGATGGTGACAACGATTGGTGGTACTTCAGAATGAAAAACTGTCACCTCATATTAAGAAATGAGCAATCCTACAATAATAAGATTAGTCATTTTATGATAATGGGAATGGTTGTGAATTACTACATATCAAACATTAGAATAAATATTATTTAGTAATTGTCATTTCATTCTCAATTTTTATTATCACTGACAAAACACAACATAGACACAAAATATATAACTGCTCACCATCCATGTATAAAACTACCAATCACCCCAACCATGCACTTATTGATAGGGGTAAAAGTTGTACGGACAACTCAATCTAACTTACCAAATCGAAAATTTTGATATTTTGGAAAATTTTGATATTTTGATACATTGATAACGTAAGGAGTACATGAAAATCACCGTTTTCATATGTAAATAATACACACTTTGAGTCCAACAGAAAATAAGAGATAACTCTATTGATGATTGAATGAATTCAATTTATTGATGCTCTCAAATGGTTACATAAGAACCCTTTATATAAGGCTCAAGAAAAACTACATATGGATATTCAGTTTACAATAGCATCACTCTAATTGAATGCATATAACACCACCTACACAAACGTTACACATACTGTGACATTACATATTGAATTAAGAGACTCCGCACACACCAATTCAGATTTCAGACACGACCAATCCATAAAAACATTTAGCCTGAGATGTCAATGGCCTTAACGTCTGGTTTCTTCTCGGGCTCTTTTGGAACTGTCACAGTAAGCACACCATTCTCCATACTAGCCTTGATCTGATCCACCTTTGCACTCTCCGGCAACCTGAACCGCCGGAGGAACTTTCCACTGCTCCTCTCCACGCGGTGCCACTTATCGTTCTTCTCCTCCTGCTCTTTGTTTCTCTCTCCGCTAATCTGTAAAACTCTCCCCTCTTCCACCTCCACTTTCACCTCTTCCTTCTTCAGTCCCGGCAAATCGGCGTTGAAAATGTGAGCCTCCGGCGTCTCCTTCCAATCAATGCGAGTGTTAGCAAACGCAGAGGTCTCACGAGCTGAAGAGGGAAAGTTAGAGAGAGTGGTCGAGAAGGGAAAGCCCTCAAATGGATCCCAAATGTCGAGAGAGAATGGGTCGAACACGTTGCTCCGGCGACCACCGAAAATGCTCGGAATAAGGGCCATATTTGATGGGTATGCTTAAATTGAGAGATTGGGATGAAAATTTGCAGAAGATTTGTGATTTGATAGAAAAGCTTTGAGCGATTTTTCACGATGAGATTGGTGGAGATGAGCAAGGTATATATAGGAGGAACAAAGATGAGTCTGGTACTTTCGCGTGTCTTCTGAGCAAAATTATCTGTGACGTCAAATGGAAAGAAGATGATTCTCTAACCTTCTACAGCCTTCGTGAACCCGGTCCGCCGTCTGTCTCTTTCGACGGGGATAATTTTAGGAATAACGTTATTTAGATAGATAAAAATATTTAATTTAAATCAACGTGTAGAATATAATAAAAATTAATAATAAAGATAGGCTCCTATAGTCAACTCCAAACATTTAGAATTAACACTTGATTTAGTTGGTTGGCTGGTTAGACGGATTGGATCAAAATTTACTCATCTAATTTTGTAATTTAATTTGTTATAGTGGTTGAAATGACGATGGATTTCATTTAATATTGAGACTTGCTATTAATTCAATGATATTAATAAATTAGGTCACTAAATTAAATTAATAATATTATTTAAACTTAATTTATTAAATATAATTTATTAATCTAATTTATCAAGATTATTAAATTGATTGTGAGCTATGAAGTACGAATATAGATATTAGATACGAGTACGATATGATATGAATATGGTGATACGACAAAATTTTAAAAAGTAGGATACAGGTACAGCTAGGATACGATTATAATAAAATATATTTAATATTTTTATTATTTTCAACCAACTTAACATTTATATATTTTGGTTGTTCTTTAACGTATAATAAGAAAAATTAGTAATTTTTTTTAATATTTAGAAGTAATTTTTACAAAGAATATAATTTACTAGCTTTACTATATGGTCTTTTGACATGTAATTATAGATAATATTTAAAAAACACTCATGTGTCTTTGAAGTAATATGAAATTTTTGTTAATGTATTGTATATAGTATGTAAATTCGAAAAAAGATATTAAAAGTATAACTAAAAAATATACATGATGCTCTACTACAAAAGTATCCGCGAAGTATTCTAATATTTGATTATTATCAGATACGTAGAATGTGTATTTGATACGTATCCTTGAGTATCGTATCTAATACAAGTACGTCAATCTCAACGAAGTATCTGTGCTTCATAAGTTGTGAGTTTCAATAAATACTAGGATCCATCATTAATCTAACGGATATAAATAATTAAGTGAGCAAATTAAGTTCATAAATTAAATTTAAATAATATTATTAAAATTAAATTATTAAACTAAATCACAATAGTATTACTCTAATTTTACTTGCCTCCTCCGTTTAAAGGGCCAGTGGACTATTGAGCATGAGTATGGCCATAGCCCATAGGTCCGCGAAATTCAGTGAAAAACATCGCCCACATGTGATACTACTATCTTGATATTAATTTAAAAAATACTATACTATAACGTAAGTAAATTTTTAATAAAACATCATGTCTTTTTTTGATATATATATATGATGTTCAGTATGTAATATATATATAAATACCTTTTAGTTTACACATTGTTGGTTTTCACAAAAGATTTTTCTTGCAATCGATAAATTTAATTTTCTTTTTATAGATACATAGAGATCTCTTAAGTAACTGTTTGATATTAGATTCAATTAGCTTGTCTCAAAACTTTCTTGAATGAGTTCAATTGACGGCATTAAAGCAAGTAAAACGACAGTAAAATAAGTTTTTGATGGATTTGATAGTATCTTCTCCTTCTAATTAATGCCCATTTTAAAGAAATCTTCCTATCGACAGTTACTTTGGCCTTGTTCAGGTAGTTTTCTCTCCAATGTCTCTCTTATTTTAACTATTATTTTTCAAATTCTTGAAGCCAATTTGGTGTTGATAACTTCTGCCTTTTCAAATTTTAAGATAATCATTTTATTTTCTCCCTTAAAAAGGTTATAACTTCCCTTAAATTTGAACACGTCACATCAACTAATTATGTATCTATTTTTGATTGAATGAATATCGTGTAACAAATCTCTTTTGTTGACTTCATTCAGTGGACATTTGTTATTCAGTGCCTCTTTCACTAGAAGTATAAAATTTGGTCCAACCACACGTACAGATAAATTATTTAAACACAAGGCAAACAAACAATTAGTTTTATTGTCTTATCACCAAGCAAATTCCATGTCAGTGAAGTTTTTACAAAATACATTAGTGCCTTTGAAACTAAGATGATGTACGTTGGGTTTTGATCAGATTGCTCTATTTTTTTTTTTATTATGCCAAAAGGATGAATTTTATTGCTTTCAATACATACCGTTATAGATTTTGTGGGTGTAGGAGAATTGTGACCTATTTGGGGATTTTCGACTAACGCTTTGCCTTTGGGTTAGGTTGACCTTAATTTTAGTACTACCATGTATAAGTTTTGGGGGGTATTTTTATAAATTTTGCAATAAATTTATAATTGTTAGGAGTTATTTATAATTTTTTGGGACTTAGGCAACAATGGTTTGGCTTAACCTTACTTAAGCATGCATATTATGTTAACGAAGACTCGAAGTTTACGTTAGAAGAGCAAAAGGCCAAAATCAATATACTTCTAACGTCGAATTAGAATCAACTAGGACAGAAATAAAACATTGTGTCAAACTCTTCTTTGGTGTCAAGGTAATAGATATGAATAATCATCGACTTTTGGGAAAGGGTAGAAGAATGGGGCCTATTATGAGACATACAATGCATTACATATGTATGATCATTACGCTTCAACCGGATTATTCTATTCCACATTTTAGAAAGAAAAGAACTTAAATCAAAATACTTAATAGTATGACGGTACATTTATATAAAACTTTGACCCCAAGCACACGCAATGGAGTCGTAGACAATCAAGTGAAGTTTAATTCACGAAATCATTTAATGTATGAACAACATCGTTGTGGTAAAGATCGTAAGCTATCTCTATCTCTCAATTACCTATCCAATGCTCAAGAAGGTCCCTTAGTTCCTTGGCATCACCTCAAGGTGCATTTTGTTGTCTTACATGAGACTTGGGATTTTCTCTACTTCATGGCATGATCCCTTTCGCTCATCCAGTCTGCTCGCCCGTCTGTTCAGACACAACACCCTTTCTCATTATTATCTACCACTCTTTCTGTCCTTCTGACTATTCACGCATAAAGATTGTTGTATATATGCTCGACTTTGGTTGCCGATGTTATAGGTAGGAGTACATTATGGCGAGATCAGTCACCTTGACCTTAATTTTAGTACTACCATGTATAAGTTTTGAAGGTATTTTTTCTAAATTTTGCAATAAATTTATAATTTTAAGGAGTTTGTTTAGAATTTTTTGGGAGTTATTTACAACTTATTATGATCATTTTATTGGTTATAATGTATTATATTTTAAAATTATATTCCTTAATTATATCCCAATAACATTAGTGATTATTAACCCATTAGAGGTGATTGGTGTCACCATTCTTTTAAATGAAAATGAAGTAGAATGTATATTAAAATTTCAGTAATACTATACTGACCAAATTTTGGGAGCAAATCAAAAAACTCAAATGACATGACAGCTGACTTGGACTTCTTTATGTGATATCATTTTATTTGGACCTTAATAAAGACTCCAAATAATAAAATGTTATGTCATTTAAGCTCTTAATTTGGTCAGCGTAACATTACTCTTAAAATTTTTACACTAAATACTGTTGAGATAACATTGCTCTAATTTTAATGTTTGCAAGGGTTAGGCAAGTAGACTTAAAAAAAAAAAGAAAAAAGAAATCTCATTCTCCTTCATGGATCAAAGACCATGTAAAAATTTGCACAAGAAGTACCGACTTATATTACAGACAAGACAATCTTATTACCGTTAACCATATACATGGAATTTTAACACCAAATCTCTCAACAAACATGGAATTTAACAAGTACACTTATTCTTATCAACATCAAACTTTGTAACACTCAAAACATCATCTCCAACATCACACGACCAAAACACGAACTCAACCAGAAACATCTACGGCCTTCACCTCCGGCTGCCTCTCCTGTTTTTCGGCCTTCACCTCCGGTTGCCTCCCCTATTCTTTCGACACGATCACCACCAGAAATATCAATGGCTTTCACCTCCGGCTGCCTTTATTGTTCTTTCGGCATGATCACAGTCGGCACACCGTTCTCCATATTCGCCTTTATTTCATTTATCTTTGCATTCACCGGCAGCCTGAACTGGCGGACAAACTGGCCGACGCTCCTCTCACTCCTGAGCCACTTATCTGTCTTCTCTTCCTGTTACCTGACTCTCTCTCCGCTAATTCGGAGGATTCTACCATCTTCAACCTCGACCTTCACTTCCTCTTTCTTCAGTCCAGGAAGATCAGCCTTGATTATGTGAACTTCAGGAGTTTCCTTCCAGTTTATACGAATGTTGGCCAAGGCGGAGCCCTCCCGGTGTCGGTTGGTGCCGGGGACGTTGGTACGGGTGCCGGAGGAGAGGATGCCTTCGAAGGGTCCCAAATGTCTAGAGAAAATGGGTTGAAGATGTTGCTTCGCCGGCCACCGAAGAAACTTGGAATCAACGCCATGGATGGATTTCTGCTGCTGTTTGATGTAGAGAGAGTTATAAAAACGAGACGATAACCGTGAAATGGTTTCTTGATGATGAAAAAGGATAGAGATGATGAAGCTATATATAGTAGCAAGATGATAAAATTGGTATGATCTGGAAAATGCAGAGAAGAGAGAGAAAGAAGGGAGTTGGACGATGTTCTACATGTTTCATATAACTTCGATCCTCAAGTCCCTCGGACATTCATGTATGTGGGCATACTCTATATGTATCTGGTAAGATTTCGGCCTGAGTCTGTCCATTTAAAATCTAGAATGTTTAATGGGCCTCTTGGTTACATTGCGGCCCAAACGGCCCATTTGTGGTCTGCCCACCCCACAGTATGAATGGGTTGCAACTCAAATAAAAGAGTCCAGCGACACCCAAATTGACATGTTCTTACTCGGCCAATCTAGCTCGGCGGAAGTTAGCCCAGGAATAAGTAGCTCAGTACTCATTAGATCCCGAGCATTTTCTGTCACGCCATGTGTCTAGGGGACAAGGGGATAGCTTCTGAAACTACTAACGAACACGTACCCTTTGATAAAGGAGAATATTTGTGCACATTCCATTTAAGGATCGCATCAGGATGACATATATCATTACCAGACAAAGGAATAGGGGACCATAGAATCAGCCAAGAGAAGGAAGAAATTCAGGAAACCCTAGATGATTACTTGTATAAATAGAACACCATCACATTATGTAAAAGAGTTCCAAAAATTTGTATTCACAAGACACGGCACGCAAAGATTCTAAATCAAGAAACTTACTGTAATCTTTTTCTTCAAGAAATATAAACCCCAAGAAACAAGAGCCTCCATTGCAGTGGATATAGCATTAGTTTTTTGGCTAAGGTGAATCACTTATATACTGTTTTTGATCCAATTTCATCTCTCACTTCTTTGTTAATCTGAATATTCACACTACCCCCCATTGGGTCTCACAACCACAGTTCTACATTTGAGCTAAGTAATTTCGAGCACCATTAATATCCATGGGCTATTTTGTGTGTAGATTGTTTTTCAATACTAGCCCAACCTTACAAGCCCAAAATCAAATAGTGTAGGTCCGCAAACATGAGTCTCCTTACGTGGTCGGAGTTCGGCATAATTTAGTGCAGTTCAATTATAAAGTTTTTTTTTTTTTCACTTTTTTAGGGGAGAGAGAGAGAGACTTGAACTCTTGATCTCAAGAGGACAAAACCTTCACAAAATAAAAAATATCATTAAATCAAAGATCCATTAATTGTTCAATTATAAAATTGAATCAAGCTAAACTTCTCGTAGCAACTCTTTCGAATGAGAGCATACCTAATCAACTTGACCGATCACAAAATCTGCACACCAAAGGAAGAGTTGGGCCCGACAAGCCAGCTTGACCTTGGGTGCAATGATATCACTTCCAAAATGACACCTCATTGTCTCCAAAAACACGTGGAACACCGTAAGAGATCTTCTAACTGTAAATTATTCCTCCCATGATTCTAATTGATTCAGGGAATCACACAATCTTGAATACATAAAAAAGTTTGTTCTTGTATAAATAGGAAGATATAACCTACATAAAGGGATCAAATCATTAGAGTGGACTAACCAAACTCTTTAATCTAGTGAATTATTGAATTTTTGTGAATTATTTTATGTTCATAATTTATCATTTCTTTACAACAGGGAGGAACTATTCTGTGCTAAGCTATCTCTCACTCACACACATACATCCAACTACCTTCGAATCTTTTCAAAACCTCTTTACCCTCGTACCTTTACTTTATGCCATCAATTAGTGATCGTGCAAATTATTAACATTGTTAATTAATAGATTTGGTTGTGTTTGTACTAAAGTTCATAATTGATGAATTGTATTAAGGTTAATTCTAAAACCATTTACAGAATGAGCCAAGATCAACATTGAACAACTAATCCGAACTTGAATTTATGCTCAAACACAAGTGAATGAGCCCACAACACTTTGCCTCCGTTCGAATAGACCATCAAGTCTAACCTTGAATAACAGTTTGAAGTTTATGTTTAAACACAAGTAATTTTGAGTATAACAGTTACACTATATCATCATTATCACAGTATAAACGTCTAATAAATAAATAAACAAGTGGATAAGATGACACCACGTAGGTGTAACCGAACTCAAAATTGATAGCTATATATAGGAAGTAAAAAGGGAGTGAGCTACAAAACATGCATCACCATGATGGGGAACCAAAATGGTGACCACCCCAACTAAGAGAAAAAAATGCCATCCCTAACGGTAACCACCTCTGCATGTAGATTTGCATTCTCATTAATATACACAAATGGGTAAATTACACTTTTGCTCTTTAAACTATCATTTTTTTTTCACTATGACCTCTTGACTATCAGATTTTTCACATTGTCCCGTTAACTATTAGATTAACCCAATTATTAGCCTCCATTACATATTTAACGAAAATTTATTTTATTTTGTCCCTTGAACTATAGATATTTTTTTACTTTACTCTGACGCGTCAGCGATATTTGTTCAAGTAAATAGCAGACGTTTGCGATTAGGGAAATGTGAAACAAAACTAATAGTTTATGGTATAATGTAAGAAATTTGATAGTTGAGAGGATAAAGTGTAAAAAGGTAATAGTTTAAGGCATGTAAGTATAATTTACCCCACTCAAATTCACAATCTTTCCGCTAATAAAATTTTCATCTTTCTACGCCCTAAATATAAGTAAAGATCCACTTCTTCATTTCATCTTCAATTTACAAGTGCTATGCAGTGTTGCTAAACCGAAATTTACCACAAACTTCTATCTAGAAACTTCCATGGATCAACTCTCACTCCCTCCTCCTCCTCCTCCTCATGTACTCATCTTCCCCTTACCAGTGCAGGGCCATGTCAACTGCATGCTCAAGCTCGCCGAGCTTCTCTCCCTTGCCGGAATCCATGTCACCTTTCTCAACTCAGATTACATCCACCGACGCCTCCTTTGTTACACCGATGCTCAGTCCCGTTTCAAACGCTATCCTGGATTTCACTTTGAGACGATTTCCGATGGTCTTCCGGCAGATCATCCGCGTTCTGGTGACCGTGTCATGGAAATTTTTGACTCGATAAAGGCGATAACGAAACCTCGATTTAGGGAGATGCTGATGTCTGGTAGATTGAATGATGAAACGAGGCGACCGGTGACTTGCATTATTGCAGATGGGATTATGTGTTTCACCATTGATGTTGCGAAGGAGCTTGGAATACCTGTCGTTTGTTTCCGGACGGTCAGTGCTAGCTGCTTCTGGGCGTTTTTCTGTGTCCCCAAACTCATTGAAGCTGGCGAGCTTCCTTGCAAAGGTATATGTAGGAGCTTTTGACGTATCCCATGCATTTTAAAAAAAAAAGGTTCTAAATAAAGATAGTTTTTAAAGTAATTTTTAAATACCGATAGTTTTTAAAAAGGTCAAACGAATTGTTAATTTTTGATAGGGTATATTAAGGTTACATGAAAATTATGGGTTGACTAGTTATCAAGCACGAAAAACTTGAAATTAATTGAAGTTGAAATTGAAGAAAAGTGATGAGTTTTTTGATTCTATAGCAGGAATTGTGGAAAATCCTTGTAAAATTAGAGGATTTTGTGCTTAGTTTTGCTGGCATAAAAATCAAATGCATTTTTATTTATAGAAAACTTATTGATGATTGGTTTCGATTGACAGAATTTGAAATTCAATTTTTAGTCCAGTTTATAATGACACGATTAATAAAATTGATTGAATTCAGATTGACTAATACTCAACATGAACTCTAAGAACAACATTACTCAATTTCTTTGTTACCCTAATATTAATAAGTTATTCATATTGCGCTATAGATTGAGATTCTTTTTATTACATTTTCACTTATACTTACTAAATGTTAGATCGCTGCATGTATGGATGGAGTGGATCCCGCTTACAAATAATGCGTCTTAGGATGTATTTTAAATAAAATTGAGTGAAAATGTAATAAAAAATAATTTTTCACACTCAACGACTATTATTTAATGGTAAAAATGATTGCCAGTTTAATCTCCACGAGTTCACCCCTTCTCTATGCTTATTCTAAATTCTTCAGTTGGTTTCAATGAATTAGTGTGTTCATACAAAATATTGTAGGAGAGGAAGACATGGACAGACCATTACAGAACGTTACAGGAATGGAAAGTTTTCTCCGGCTTCGCGACCTTCCTAGTTTCTGCCGTGTAAGAGACCTCAACGACCAGGCTCTGCAAGTCGTCATGTCCGAGACTCAACAAACCACCCAAGCCAATGGGCTCATACTCAACACCTTCGAAGACCTTGAAGAATCAACCCTAGCACAAATACGCACCCACATTCCAAAACTCTACCCCATAGGACCACTTCACGCCCACTTAAAAGCCAGAACGGCATTTGAACCAGAATCACTGCTCCGATCATCAAACAGCCTCTGGGAAGAAGACCAGAGCTGCATGGGATGGCTCGACGACCAGCCATTAAATTCTGTGATCTACGTGAGCTTTGGAAGCATGACGATTTTGACAAGGGACCAACTCATTGAGTTCTGGTACGGTTTGGTGAATTGTGGGAAGCCCTTTTTGTGGGTGATACGGCCGAACTCCGTTTCCGGAGAGCTTCAGATTCCGGCGGAGCTCTTGGAGGGTACGAAGGAAAGAGGGTATATGGTGGCGTGGGCACCACAAGAGGAGGTATTATCCCACCCAGCCATTGGTGGCTTCTTGACTCACAGTGGGTGGAACTCGACGTTGGAGAGTATAGTCTCTGGAGTTCCGATGATATGCTGGCCGTACTATGCTGACCAGCAGGTGAATAGTAGGCTTGTAGGGGAGGTGTGGAAGATTGGGATGGACATGAAGGACACTTGTGATAGGGTAATGGTGGAGAAAATGATAGGAAATTTGATGGAGGTGAGGAGGGATGAGTTTTTCCGGTCGGCGAACCAGATGGCCAAGTTGGCGAGAAGATCTGTGGGTGAAGGTGGATCATCGTATTGTAGCTTGGACCGGTTGATTGAAGATATAAAATTGATGAGTCATGATAAGTGAAAAATCAAATTACTAACACTCTTTATGAGAGAAAATTCCGATTACCTTTGCTTTGCTTTTACACGTGGTTATTACTGCTGCCTTTTCGGCTATAATACAATCTTTAGCATATTAATACTACACTAATTAAATTTTAAAATCAAATTTAGAGTTTAAATGATATAATAGTTGATTATTTAAAATTTTTATTAAAATTTAAATAACATGATACTAATCAAAAAAATTAAAATCAACTGTTATATCATTTAAATTTTAAATTTAATCTCAAAACTTTATCAATGTAGTGTTACCCTCTTTTGCGTCCGTTTTCGGTGTGGTGCCAAATAAATTGGACAAACTATGCCTAAAAGTGTGAACTTTAGTAATTATGCCTTTGCAGCCGCAATACAATCACTAAAAGTCCAGTCAACGAATATGGGCGGCATCAACAGCTGGATGGACGTGTATCGTACATAAATTTCTAAAGATTAATGTTACATTAATTTAAAAATTAGATTTAAAAATTAAATTTAATAATTATAATTATTAATTTATTATTAATTATTAAATTTAATTTTTAAATTCATATAAAATTACTAAAATCCCTACAGTACGTCAGACATGGTCTATTGATAACAACGCCGTGGACTGCCAGACCCCTACAGTACGTCAGCAGTTAGCTATGCACTTTAGTGCATTGCAATTTAATCAACTCATATAATTAGATTATTAGGTGATTGATTGTCGTGTTAACTTAATTAAGTTTATTTTTGAGAGGTGTAATAGACATGAGCAGAAATCTCATGATTTTATCCGTAAAAACCTATCAAAATAGTATCTGAGCATGCTCCCTTGTTTCCAAACTTTTTTTCTCAAGCAACAAAAAAAAAAAAACTCATATAACTAGGGAAGTAACGTGACAATCCAAATTGAATTCATATTGAGATTTTTAAAAATACAAGATTTGAGTTGAAGTTTATAAAAATTGGGTTGACTTTTGTTGAAAATTTTCAACTCAAATTAAATTTGAGCAATATTCGAGTTGAGGCTTTGAGTTCACGGCTTTAACACGAGCCTAACATGAATTACTAAAATTGAACTCAACCCAAATTTATAATTTAGTTTCAACTCAAAATATATATGTACACAAAATTTAAATTTTTATTGAATTCAATTGAAGCTGGTCAAGTTAATATGTCATATTTGAAAATGAAATTGAATTATGAGCCCAAATTAATTAATCCAAATTAACTCTAATTTAGTGAAAAATTAACTTGAACAACACTCAAATTACATATCTCGAATTGAAAGTCAAGGACGGATTAAATTAGGGTTAAAAGTTATACAATTTGGGTTACTTCTCTAACCTAAAAAACCTCATTTGACACTATAGAGAGACATCTATCAAAGAGTTTTCTCAAATCCTATTGTCGAAGCAATGCTCACATTTTTTATATGTCATAAACTGTGCAATTATTCAGTTAATCAATTTTTTTAAATTTCAAATTTTGTTATGATGATTTTGAATTCGAAACTTTCATACTACTTTGTTATGATGGAACTAGTTTCCAATCAGTGATTAATAATCACCGTCTAATACCTCCTAGATTCAATGGGGATAGATATAAAGAACGAAAAATGTTAGTAGTATCCTTTTAATTTAATATATCTTTAAGGATATTTTATTTATTTTTCAAAACGTCATTCAAATTATTTTTAATTTATATTTAAATATCATTGGCACTACCTGCTGTTAAATTAACGTCGCTAAAAAAAAAGAAATTCATCTAAAATATCAATATTGTCCTTGTATAAATTTCAAACAATATTTTTATATAAAATTTGATTAAAATTTAAGACTATTAAAATTTATATTTTTACATATTAAAATTCAAGTTGATTAAAATTTATTTTTTTACATATTAAGATTTGAGCTAATTAAAATTTGATTTTAATTAATTAAAATTTATTCTTATATGTATTAAAATTCAAGCTGATTTCAGCTCTGTCTGAGCTGTTAGCAATGTTTAAAATTCATTCCGAGTTGATTAAAATTTATATTTTTTTTTACTTATTAAAATTTGTGGCAATTAAAATTTGATTCAAGTTTATTAAATTTTATTTTTTAAATATTTAAATTTNCATATTGAGATTTTTAAAAATACAAGATTTGAGTTGAAGTTTATAAAAATTGGGTTGACTTTTGTTGAAAATTTTCAACTCAAATTAAATTTGAGCAATATTCGAGTTGAGGCTTTGAGTTCACGGCTTTAACACGAGCCTAACATGAATTACTAAAATTGAACTCAACCCAAATTTATAATTTAGTTTCAACTCAAAATATATATGTACACAAAATTTAAATTTTTATTGAATTCAATTGAAGCTGGTCAAGTTAATATGTCATATTTGAAAATGAAATTGAATTATGAGCCCAAATTAATTAATCCAAATTAACTCTAATTTAGTGAAAAATTAACTTGAACAACACTCAAATTACATATCTCGAATTGAAAGTCAAGGACGGATTAAATTAGGGTTAAAAGTTATACAATTTGGGTTACTTCTCTAACCTAAAAAACCTCATTTGACACTATAGAGAGACATCTATCAAAGAGTTTTCTCAAATCCTATTGTCGAAGCAATGCTCACATTTTTTATATGTCATAAACTGTGCAATTATTCAGTTAATCAATTTTTTTAAATTTCAAATTTTGTTATGATGATTTTGAATTCGAAACTTTCATACTACTTTGTTATGATGGAACTAGTTTCCAATCAGTGATTAATAATCACCGTCTAATACCTCCTAGATTCAATGGGGATAGATATAAAGAACGAAAAATGTTAGTAGTATCCTTTTAATTTAATATATCTTTAAGGATATTTTATTTATTTTTCAAAACGTCATTCAAATTATTTTTAATTTATATTTAAATATCATTGGCACTACCTGCTGTTAAATTAACGTCGCTAAAAAAAAAGAAATTCATCTAAAATATCAATATTGTCCTTGTATAAATTTCAAACAATATTTTTATATAAAATTTGATTAAAATTTAAGACTATTAAAATTTATATTTTTACATATTAAAATTCAAGTTGATTAAAATTTATTTTTTTACATATTAAGATTTGAGCTAATTAAAATTTGATTTTAATTAATTAAAATTTATTCTTATATGTATTAAAATTCAAGCTGATTTCAGCTCTGTCTGAGCTGTTAGCAATGTTTAAAATTCATTCCGAGTTGATTAAAATTTATATTTTTTTTTACTTATTAAAATTTGTGGCAATTAAAATTTGATTCAAGTTTATTAAATTTTATTTTTTAAATATTTAAATTTATATTTTGAAAAGATTTTAGTCATACCCTTCTATTTTACTATATCTTTCAGGACATCACCTCTATTATAAAAAAATCAGTGACACTCCCTGCCATTAAACTACCATTTCGAACAAAAAAACAAATCATTTAAAATACAAAAAATGTCTCTACATAAACCCTAAACAATTTTTTTACACAAAATTCGAGTCAATTAATTTTGTTTTTTTCACATTTTAAAATTCGAGTGTATTAAAATTTATTTTTCTGCATATCAAATTAATTCAAGTTGATTAAATTTTATTTTTTTTACGTATTAAAATTTGAACTTATTAAAGTTCGAGTTGATTTAAGCTTTGTCCAAGTTGTTAGTGTTGATTAAAATTTGTTTTGAGTTGATTAAAATTTATATTTTTTGTCAATTAAGATTTAAGTTAATTAAAATTTATATTTTTTTATGTATTAAAATTTAGGTCAATTAAAATTCAATGTTAGTTGATTAAAATTTGATTTGTATCAAAACTCGGATCAAGTAAAATTGTCGATTAAAAATAAATTTTTATCGGCTCTAATAGAATTTAAATCAACTCAAATCTTAATACGTAAAAATAAATTTTAATTAACTTGAGTCAAAATTTAATACTTAAAAATATTTAAAAATAGAGAAAATTTTATTGAAGATATGTCTATCTGAAGAAGGTGTAGTTAAAAGTTTTTTTAAAATATATTATAAGCAATTTAGAAAACTTGAATTTTAATTAACACCTTTAATAGGGGGAGTGTTGTTAAAAACTCAAAAAATAAGAGGTGTTTAAATTTTTTCTATAAACTATAAATTTAAACATTTTTAAAATAAAATGTGAGACAATTTTGTTGGAGTCTGATAGTAAGAGATTTAATCCTCATGAATTATCTAGTCCTAATGTAAAAGATTTGTCATTAAATGGACTTTGGTTAATTTGTCTATAATCAAACCAAGGTGAGAATTAGTTGTTAAGTGAATTCGAACACTCTCAATCATAATACCAAAAAAAAAACTCCGTTTAACCCCTTTTAAGAAGACAAGTTCGGGTAAGATATGAAGGTTTGAAGTCAACTTGTACCTCTTTCCGTAACACGAAAATGGCCGATACAGAGGAAACTCCGATGAATCATCAAAAACCAAAACTCCCTACTCATGTCCTCATCTTCCCGTTGCCAATTCAGGGACACATAAACTCCATGCTCAGGCTCGCCGAGCTTCTCTGTCTCTCCGACATCGACGTCACCTTCCTCACCATGGTTCAAAGTAGCGGTATCGGCCATGAACTCGGAGGGTACTGATACACATCGGTCGCGGCGTCGCGGCGCGGTATCGGACGATACGCTCAAAATGCAAGATAGAAGCTCCAAAAAAATTTAAAAAAATTCTAAAAAAATAGACATTATCATTTATGCATCATATATCCACAATACATCTAAAAACACATTAAACATAATTAAAATGAAACATAAAATCACGAGCGAAAATAATTATCATTATCAATGTTCAATGTAGACATTTAGGAACATATTGAGCTGTAATCATTGCCACATTGAACGACGATGAGGTTCAAAATCGTCGTTATTGTCTCTAGGATAATACAAATTATGGTACTGTCTACCATAAGAATTAGAGTACAAGTGTGAATACAGGTCTGATTGGGTTGGTTGAATTGATTGACTAGATGACCCATAATCAGAGTAGTGTGACTGTGGAGGTTGTACTGGCTGGTTCCCATACTGATAGTACCCAAAACCACGATATTCACGGCCACTACTAGCAGAAGACTGATCATATCCATAAAAGTTGACACTATCCGATGTTGTGTTAGAAGATCCATCATGATGTCTCCTTGGAACACGATCATAGTAACCACCAGTACTAGTACTAGTAGATCTCTCAAGATGCGTAGGGCGATGGCCATAATGCCCAGCACTATTAGTACTAGTAGACCTCGAAAGCTGCGAAGGGATACCATATCCATATGATCCATGTGAATAGCTAGATTCTATACCACTACTTTGATGATGTCCGTAAGACATGTATCCTTCATATGATGTCAATCCCAAATTCTGCATATGATCGTCAATATCTTGTCGACTAAGTGAATGATGGTAGCGTCTATGGGAATAATCATCACCAATGGAAGAGTTTAAATTCCTTCGTTGTTTCATTGCCCCTGGTCTATATCCATGGTCTGTATCCTGTGTGGCATAGTAATTGTCTTGCCCCTGTGCCCATGACATACCGCCAGGTAGCTGAGTATCACTACCATCTCCAGTAGTCCCTCCACCATCACTCTTGTTGCTCTCATCTTTATCTCCACCATGATTACTAGCATCATCATCATCAGTACTACTACTATCACCACCACCACCACCATAAGTATCAGCAACATTATTATCATTATCATCATCAGAAGAAGAATCACTAGAACTAACAAAAATTCTCATAGCCTTTTTACCCTTATTAGTTGGCCTCGTATCTTTTTCAGATCTTCTGGTAGTGGCATAATTGCTAGATGTTGGTGCCGTATTAGTGTCACCTTCATCAACTACATCTCGTCCACTTCCACCTTCTTCAATGTCACGAATACCTTCATCCAGCCAACCTAAATTATCAGGTGGTAAAATTGATTCCTCCCCTTCTCTTATCCACTCATCTAATATATCATCATCATTAAAAATACAGTTCAAATCAATTGGATTATAAAAATCATCATTTTCACGCTGATATGTCAAATTTTTAACTCGCAACCGCATATTGTAGTGCACAAAAACTAGCTTATGTAGCTTTTTCATTGCCAATCGGTTGCGAAGTTTTGTATGGATTAGCGACCATGTACTCCAATTTCTTTCACACCCTGATGATGAACATGTTTGGCTTAAAACTTTGACTGCAATTTTTTGCAGATGGGGAGCTTCGTCACCATAATTGATCCACCATTCAGCTACAAAAAAAAAAAACTGTACAATATTAGTATTGACCATAAGAGTAACAAATGATACTTTACTAAATACATATAGTTTAAATAATAAACCTGGAAGGGAGGCATGTACAGCTTTTCTAGTGAGTGCATTCCCAAACTCGCCATGTTTGTCAGTATATAATTTGATCTGCAATTTATTGTGTAATGTATTACGTAAACGACAAATATATACACATATTATAATAAAAAATTATCAAAAATCGTCATACCTCATTCATTGCCCTTGCTTGTTTATTCAAATCTGGTTCCAATCTTTTAATAACCTCTTTCAAACCAGATCTTACCTCAGGATGGTTGGAAAATTGATTAGAATACTGAAAAACTGGATTTAAGAAATAAGCTGCAAAATTTTTGATAATTTAATGTAAGTTAGTGAAAAACTATAATATTTTACAAGCTAATACACAATGATCAACTATTTATATTTTTAAATACTTTTACCTGCTGCATGTAAGTGTCTGTGCAATTGGATCTCCCATCTTTTGTCAATCACAGCCCAGTATTTCTTCCAATTTTTGACTGAATGTTGTATGGCTAGTTTAGCCCTGTCCATTGCCTCATAGATAATTGATAAAGTTGGTTTTTTGTCTTGATCAACTATTTTTAAGACTCTAACAAGAGGCTCCATGACAGATTGAACTTCTCTAGCCTTCTTCCAAAATTGGTCAGTCAAAATAAGATTTGAGACTATATCTCTTGTTTTTCTCCTCGTCTTGTCTTTGTTGAACTCACGCCATTCATCGGTGGTACACATTCTTTTCAAGTCCGATTCATAACGAATAAGACTTTCAATGGCGATAAATTCAGTGGCAAATCGTGTTATACCTGGCCTCAATAAATCTCTATCTCGGGTATGTTGCTTCATTAAGTTGACCACTTTGAGACTGTTGTAGATAAAAGATGTGATCGTCTTAGCATCATCTATGGTCTCCTTGATTGCTTTCATATGACCAATATCTTCCAGCATCAAATCAATACAATGAGCTGCACAAGGAGACCAAAATAAATGTTTTCTTTTATCCATCAACATCTTACCAGCTGCTTTAAAGCTTGCCTCATTGTCGGTTACTACATGTACTACATTTTCTTCTCCAATTTCATCAACAACTTTATCCATAAGAGAGAAAATATAGTCAGCAGTTTTTGAAATATTTGTGGTATCAATTGATGTATGGTAAATCATATTACGGTCACAATAAATCATGAAATTGATAATGGATTTCTTTGTTCTAGAACTCCACCCATCAGACATGATTGTGCAACCATACTGAGGCCATTTTACCTTCATCGAAGATATGTACACATCAAGCTCTTGAACCTCCTCCTCCAAATAAGAACTACCAATTTGATATCCTGTGGGACCCTTTATACCTGGGCCTGCATCCGCAATAGTGTCAATCATTGACTGATAGTAAGGCCCACTATCAGCTGCATTGAATGGTATGGCATTGAAGAGGAAGAACTTTGAAATAGCTTTTCCCACTTTTTTCAGGTTCGCACCTGAGAATATGCCTTTTACTGACTTTTGTTTCGACGGGAACATGTACGGATCAAGGCCACTTATAGGCATGCTTGCACCTTCTTTTGTGCTATAGCTACGTGGTGGTTCGCGCTTGATTCCTGAGCTTGATGGTTGTGATGATCGACCGCTTGCATTTGATACAGAATGCCTACGACCCTCTTCCTCCATCCAAGCCATTTGACGACTTTCCTTCATTGCATGCTTTAACTGTCTTCTTTCAAAATCACCATCTTCAATTTGATTCTCACCATCATCATCATCGTCGTCATCCAGGTTGTAACAATCTTCATCTCGTAATGATTGCATAATTCGTTCTTTTTTCTTTTTTATAGAAGCCCTTTCTTTACTACAATCACTAAGATGTTGTCTCAAGAATTGCGACACTTCTTTTGGTGCACGTGGACATCCTTCCACCTGCCCGGATACATGTGCAATATGCTGTTTCATTCGAGTAATGCCACCATGAACTATTTTACCACAATAATTGCACTTTGTAATTCGTCGATCACTACCAACAGGTGTTGCGTGTTCCCAACCAATGTCGTGTTTTTTAGGAGCCATTCTACAAATGTCATAAATTCTAAATAATTAAACAAGTAACATGCAATTGATTGAAATAGTTTAAATATAAAAAAAATTGTAATTGTAACATTTAATTTTATATAATTAGAAATAGAACATATATTTTTTATAAATAAAAAAAAAGGAAATTATATCCACTCATTTATTATTATAAAATATTGATGTATCTAATTATTACATTAAAGTTATAATTTTTTTGATCATTAAAATACAATAATTTTAATATTTATGCAATAAATAAGTAATTTAACTATGACAATAATGTAAAAACGCATGTTTGTCTTGGAGGAGTCGAACCACTGTTCTGCAAATGACAATTTGCATCACCCAATTGAGCTACTATTTTTATGTTACTTTTAAGGCAAATATAAATATATAAACATTCCATAAAAAATTAAAAAAATAAAAACTAGACTACATGTTGCGGCAGGGAATCGAACCAAGGACCTTGCATCTACATTTGCAACACCACCCATTTGAACCACTATTTTTATGTTACTTTTAAGGCAAATATAAATATATAAATATTCGGTTAAAACAAAAAAAAAAAACCCAGACTACATGTGAGGCAGGGAATCGAACCAGGGACATTGCAACTAAATTTGCAAAACCACCCATTTGAACCACTATTTTTATGTTACTTTTAAGGCAAATATAAATATATAAATATTCGGTTAAAAAAAAAAAAAAAAACCCAGACTACATGTGAGGCAGGGAATCGAACCAGGGACATTGCAACTAAATTTGCAAAACCACCCATTTGAACTATTATTTTTATGTTACTTTTAAGGCAAATATAAATATATAAATATTCGGTTAAAAAAAAAAAAAACAACCCAGACTACATGTGAGGCAGGGAATCGAACCAGGGACATTGCAACTAAATTTGCAACACCACCCATTTGAACTATTATTTTTATGTTACTTTTAAGGCAAATATAAATATATAAAAATTCCATATAATATAAAAACTAGACTACATGTTGCGGGAGGGAATCGAACCAAGGACCTTGCATCTAAATTTGCAACACCACCCATTTGAACCACTATTTTTATGTTACTTTTAAGGCAAATATAAATATATAAATATTCGGTTAAAAAAAAAAAAAAAAACCCAGACTACATGTGAGGCAGGGAATCGAACCAGGGACATTGCAACTAAATTTGCAACACCACCCATTTGAACTATTATTTTTATGTTACTTTTAAGGCAAATATAAATATATAAATATTCGGTTAAAAAAAAAACAAACAACCCAGACTACATGTGAGGCAGGGAATCGAACCAGGGACATTGCAACTAAATTTGCAACACCACCCATTTGAACTATTATTTTTATGTTACTTTTAAGGCAAATATAAATATATAAATATTCGGTTAAAAAAAAAACAAACAACCCAGACTACATGTGAGGCAGGGAATCGAACCAGGGACATTGCAACTAAATTTGCAACACCACCCATTTGAACTATTATTTTTATGTTACTTTTAAGGCAAATATAAATATATAAATATTCGGTTAAAAAAAAAACAAACAACCCAGACTACATGTGAGGCAGGGAATCGAACCAGGGACATTGCAACTAAATTTGCAACACCACCCATTTGAACTATTATTTTTATGTTACTTTTAAGGCAAATATAAATATATAAATATTCGGTTAAAAAAAAAAAAAACAACCCAGACTACATGTGAGGCAGGGAATCGAACCAGGGACATTGCAACTAAATTTGCAACACCACCCATTTGAACTATTATTTTTATGTTACTTTTAAGGCAAATATAAATATATAAAAATTCCATATAATATAAAAACTAGACTACATGTTGCGGGAGGGAATCGAACCAAGGACCTTGCATCTAAATTTGCAACACCACCCATTTGAACCACTATTTTTATGTTACTTTTAAGGCAAATATAAATATATAAATATTCGGTTAAAAAAAAAAAAAACAACCCAGACTACATGTGAGGCAGGGAATCGAACCAGGGACATTGCAACTAAATTTGCAACACCACCCATTTGAACTATTATTTTTATGTTACTTTTAAGGCAAATATAAATATATAAAAATTCCGTTTAATATAAAAACTAGACTACATGTTGCGGGAGGGAATCGAACCAAGGACCTTGCATCTAAATTTGCAACACCACCCATTTGAACCACTATTTTTATGTTACTTTTAAGGCAAATATAAATATATAAATATTCGGTTAAAAAAAAAAAAAAAAACCCAGACTACATGTGAGGCAGGGAATCGAACCAGGGACATTGCAACTAAATTTGCAACACCACCCATTTGAACTATTATTTTTATGTTACTTTTAAGGCAAATATAAATATATAAATATTCGGTTAAAAAAAAAACAAACAACCCAGACTACATGTGAGGCAGGGAATCGAACCAGGGACATTGCAACTAAATTTGCAACACCACCCATTTGAACTATTATTTTTATGTTACTTTTAAGGCAAATATAAATATATAAATATTCGGTTAAAAAAAAAACAAACAACCCAGACTACATGTGAGGCAGGGAATCGAACCAGGGACATTGCAACTAAATTTGCAACACCACCCATTTGAACTATTATTTTTATGTTACTTTTAAGGCAAATATAAATATATAAATATTCGGTTAAAAAAAAAACAAACAACCCAGACTACATGTGAGGCAGGGAATCGAACCAGGGACATTGCAACTAAATTTGCAACACCACCCATTTGAACTATTATTTTTATGTTACTTTTAAGGCAAATATAAATATATAAATATTCGGTTAAAAAAAAAAAAAACAACCCAGACTACATGTGAGGCAGGGAATCGAACCAGGGACATTGCAACTAAATTTGCAACACCACCCATTTGAACTATTATTTTTATGTTACTTTTAAGGCAAATATAAATATATAAAAATTCCATATAATATAAAAACTAGACTACATGTTGCGGGAGGGAATCGAACCAAGGACCTTGCATCTAAATTTGCAACACCACCCATTTGAACCACTATTTTTATGTTACTTTTAAGGCAAATATAAATATATAAATATTCGGTTAAAAAAACAAACCAGACTACATGTGAGGCAGGGAATCGAACCAAAGACCTTGCGGCTAAATTTGCAACACCACCCATTTGAACTACTATTTTTATGTTACTTTTAAGGCAAAAATAAATATATAAACATTCCGTAAAAAATAAAAAATTATTTTTTTTTCCTACCTATTTTAAGTTCTTCGTCTTTCTCACTTCCCAGAGTCGCCCAGAGTTGCCCAGAGTCACCCAGAGTCGTAGACAGAGAGATGCAGTGCAGTTCCTCGCGACCGAAGAAAATCGTCTCAACAAAGAGTTGAACAAGCATAACAAAGAATCGAACAAGAACGACACACAAGATCAGATGAAGAAGATGCTTCAAGGTTTGATTTACAGGTATGGTAGTAATCTTGATTTTTTATAGGGGTTTGCAGCCTTGGGGTTCATCTGATTTCTGCAATTTTCACATGGGTGTTGAGTTTTTCAATGGGTAGTCTGGCAGTAGGTCTGCTTTATTTCCCATCCCCTTTTTTTTTTTTTGGATTTTTGTTCTTTTTTCAAAAAAATGAAGGAGTGTTGATAATCTTTTGCAGAGGTGTGGGTCAGATTTTGGAATTTTTCTATTGTCGTGTTCGACTCGGAAGGATTCCGAATCGCGTCGCCCGAGTTGAACCGAGTTTCCACCGACACATTTGATTTCGGCCGAGACGTCCGAGATATCGTCGAGATATCGCCGATACAAGTTAAATTCGTCAATCTTTCGATTCGTGTACCGTTATCGTATCGTCTATGGCCGAGTCGGATACGACTCGGCCGAGTCGTATCGGACTCGGCCGATACTTTGAACCGTGTTCCTCACCTCCGATTTCTGCTACAATCGCATTATCAAGCACGGCAAAGTTGATTCTCGATTCGCCCGTTACCCTCGCTTTCGTTTCGAAAGCATCACCGATGGCCTTCCCGACGATCACCCTCGGGCCGGCGAGCAAGTCATGGGTCTTCTTCCTTCTTTGATGAATGTAACAGTGCCACTGTTCAAGGAGATGATGGTTTCTAGAAATTTTTTGGCTTCAGAAAATCGACGGTCGGTGGCTTGCATCATCTCAGATGGGGTCTTCAGCTTTGCGATCGATTTTGCAATAGAGAAGGGGATTTCAATCGTTTACTTTCGAACCATCAGTGCTTGTTCGTTCTGGGCCTATTTCCGAATTCATGAACTCATTGAAGCTGATGAATTACCCGTCAAAGGTTAATTAATTTCCACGTTCTTCGTCCAATTAATCTCTTGTTAGACCTTAATCAATCAGCAGCAATCGTTTTTGCTATATCGGGTCTTTGAAACAGCTAATCACAGAACTTTATATTCAATGTTTTGAGTTTTTTTTCTTGAAATTTCAGGGTAATATGTTTATGATTTGATTTTGTGTAATTAGGAAAAGGAATGGATCTACTGGTGAAGAGGCTGCCAGGAACGGAAGGTTTTCTCCGGCGCCGTGATCTTCCCGGATTTTGCCGTGTCGACTACATCGATGAACCGAAACTTCAGGGGATTAAGTTCGAGACCAGACAAACCGCTCGTGCTCACGCTGCCATACTCAACACCTTTGAAGATCTCGAAGGACCTATTCTCTCTCACATACGTACTCAGATTCCAAATCTCTACTCCATCGGACCTCTACATTCTCTCCTGAAATCCAGACTCGAAACCACAACCAAGGAGTTCTCTGAATCTTCGGGTAGTTTATGGGAAGAAGATCGGAGCTGTTTGACTTGGCTAGATTCACAACCCCCCAAATCTGTGATCTACGTGAGCTTTGGAAGTATTACGATCGTAACTAGAGACCAGCTATTAGAATTCTGGTACGGTCTAGTGAATAGTGGACAGAGGTTTTTGTGGGTCATGAGGCCGGACTCTATCACCGGAAACGATGGCGAGTCGCAGATTCCGACGGAGCTTGAGGAGGCCACAAAGGCAAGAGGGTACACGGTGGATTGGGCACCACAAGAAGAGGTGCTGAATCACCCAGCCATTGGAGGGTTTGTGACTCACAGTGGGTGGAACTCAACTCTTGAGAGCATAGTGGCCGGAGTTCCGATGATCTGCTGGCCGTACTTCGCAGATCAGACGACTAACAGCAGGTTTGTGAGTGAGGTTTGGGAGATTGGATTGGACATGAAAGATACTTGTGATAGAGTTGTAATTGAGAAAATGGTTAGAGAGGTTATGGATGTGAAGAAGGAAGAGTTCTTGGAAAGAGCAGATCAATTGGCGAAATTGGCAAGAAAAAGTGTTAGCGAAGGTGGTTCATCTTGCTGTAATTTTGAGCGTTTTGTTGAGTACATAAGGTCATTGATATTGTGAGGATGCCGTGGTTGAAGCTTTGCCTGCAAAATTGAAATTGGTTTTAAGGAATTATGAGACAATTGGCGCTGAAAGNCCGATTTTTTATCCGACTTAATACTCGATTAATTTGGACGATAGATCAAAAAGGATAATTTAAGAAAAAATTCATTCGCAAAATATTAGATAGGAAGATAAAAGACCATCGGTGGCTTCTTCACTCACAGTGGGTGGAACTCGACGTTGGAGAGTATAGTCGCTGGAGTGCCGATGACATGCTGGTCGTACTATGCTGACCAGCAGGTGAATAGTAGGCTTGTGGGGGAGGTGTGGAAGATTGGGATGGACACGAAGGACACTTGTGATAGGGTAATGGTGGAGAAGATGATCGGAGATTTGATGGGGGTGACGAGAGATGAGTTTTTCCGGTCGGCTAACCAGAGGGCTAAGTTGGCGAGAAGATCTGTGGCTGAAGGTGGATCGCCATATTGTAGCTTGGACCGTTGGATTGAAGATACAAAATTGATGACTCATGATAAGTGAAAAATAAAATTATAATTGTGCGGGCTCGATCCTGCACGATATATAAAATATTGGGAACAGATCTNCGTGGTTGAAGCTTTGCCTGCAAAATTGAAATTGGTTTTAAGGAATTATGAGACAATTGGCGCTGAAAGAAAACCATTTGTGTCATTTGTTCAAGGAAAAGCTTCTTCCCCTTGTATTACCTAAAACTTGATTGTACTCTCGTTTTGTTTATATGTTCATGTCGATCACGTCCCTTACCGTGAATCAACGTTGGTGATAAACTTAAAATTACTATTGTCATGCAATTTTTTATATTACCCTTTTACTCTTTGAAGATTACCTTTCTCCTTTTGTAATTGCACACACATGACCGTGACACACACATCCATGAGAAAACCACACCAGTGACCCTCTTATGACACATACTCAACAAACAACTACACCAATGATCAGTAGTGTTCAAATTTTTGATTATATGTAATTTTTTATTCTACTTGATCTTATTGATCTTCCAATTAAAATGGATAAAAAAGTAGAATGTCCATCAAATTTTCGTATTCTTATTCTATCCTACTAACCCTTATATATATATATATATATATATATATATAT